TTCAAGAAGAAATATAAAAGGATCTCCCACGGCCAAGGGCGAGTGGCACACAGCCCCGAGGTGGCCAGCGGTGCCCCCAAGCTGCAGGCCACCCACCGTGGGGCTGAGGCCACGGCTGCCTGGGGACCGAGGGTCTCCCGAGAGCTGAGCTCTGCTGTCCGCCTGTCTCTGCTTCGGGGTCTCGGCGGGACAGGGGCAGGGAGGGGGTGGCTTCCGGCAGTGCTTAATGGTCACTGCTCCAAGTGGGGTCCCTGGGTTTCTGTCAGAAGAGGGACTGACACGATCTCTAGAAGTTTCCGCGCCCTCCATGGCTTGTTCTTGAGCCGTGTTCGATCTAAGATACTGAAAGTTTTTTAAAAAGGGAAACTATTCCTTCCAAAGGTGTAGGAGAAGCACAGGCCTTGTCTGTGGAGGGGGAGCACTCAGTCATGAGTCATCCCTAGAAGGGGCTCGTCCCTGTCACCCTCCACTGGAGTTAAAGTCTGCTACAAATACCACCAGGTGCCCATACTGCCAGTTAGGAATTGGCGTGGACAGGAGGAACTAAAGTGGCTGTTTCTTAAATGTTTTTGTTTTTTACTTTTTAATGTTTATTCTTGAGAGAGAGAGAGAGAGAGAGAGACAGAGAGACAGAGAGACAGAGAGACAGAACACGAGCGGGGGAGGGGCAGAGAGAGAGAGGCAGACACAGAATCCGAAGCAGGTTCCGGCCTCTGAGCTGTCAGCACAGAGCCCAACGCGGGGCTCAAGCTCACAAACCGTGAGATCACGACCTGAGCCAAAGTCTGATGCTGAACTGACTGAGCCACCTGGGTGCCCCTAAAGTGGCTGTTTCTTACTACAAAGTCGGTTTTATACAAGCCCCTTATTTTTACGTGGGAATTGATACACTTGCAATAATGGTGTGAAGGCAAGAAAGACGCCTGTCAATACTGACGACGCTGGCCCTGTGAGCAGGCACCAGAGCCCCCCGGCCTCACTCTGCGGCCTGCCTGGGCTACAGCACGTCGCGTTCAAGCCCACCCTCGTGTGTAGATGCTCACATCACCAGCTCTGGTCGAGATGATTGAGCTGCTACAGCCAGTGTGAGGAAGGATTTATAACCTTGCAGTAAATGGAGGTGACCCTCCTACCAAATACCCCAAACCCAGAGCTGATCCAGGATGCCTCAAGTGGAAACTCAGGGAGGTGTGACGGTGTGACGGGAGCAGAGGGTCACCAGGTGGGAGGCATCGGGACTGCGGCTTGCATTGCCCGTCTGGGGGGAACGGCAGTGCACAGCCCAGAACCCGCTCGGGACCCCATCCAATCACAGCAGCCCCACGGGCCCCTGAGCTGAGGGTGTTCCTAAAGCCTGCAGGAGCTTGACTGGCCGCTCCCGCATTCACAGACGCACAAACGGGGAGCCTCCAGCATCCCCCTCACCAAATGAGCTTCACACAGTGAGGAACACAGTTCTTGGTGGTGGCTGGGGGCCGAGACGCGGGAGGCGAGCGTCCGGTGAGGACGTTGCTCTGGTGACACAGGGTGGAACTCTGTGAGGCCAGGCGGAGTGCCTGGGACACTCACCCGGGACCCTCGGACTCTCCGGCCCTCTTGCAGGGACCGCCAAAAAGAGCAAGATCCTCTCCAAGGAAGAACAGAAGGTGGTTGCGTTCCACGAGTCGGGCCACGCCTTGGTCGGCTGGCTGCTGGAGCACACGGAGGCCGTGATGAAGGTGGGCTGTCCCACGCGCGCGTGTAGCTGCGGGCGGGTCCGGGGCGTCAGCAGGCGTGAGCCCCACTGGCACTTGGACCACGCTGGCCTCGGAAGCACCGCGTGTTCTCGCTCGGAGAGAAGGCACGGTGTGAGGTGGACAGGGGCACAGGGCAGAGGCGACCGTGCAGGGTCCCTCATCCCGGGAGGCAGAGGGCAGGACACGTGGCTCCAGCTGTGGGGTGAGGCCACTGGAGAGCCACGCAACGACTCGGGGGCCCCCTCTCCTGTGTGCACCCTCAATCTTGGAATTAAGAACTGTCAAGTTTACCACCATCTCTGAAAGCAGTAATGTAACGACTCCTAACCTTAAGAATAGGTGCGTGGAGCTCACCTTAAAGAACTACCACTCTCATAAGCATTTGGGAGTTTGATGAAAATTTATTTGTATCAAATGCCTATAGTATAAACAACTCCTCCGGAATGGTGGATTCATGACCAGGGAACCGAGTGACCCTTCAGGAAAACGTGAACGTGTGGGAGGCGGGTGCGGATTGAACTGTGCCCTGCGTCCGGCCTAGAGGGGGCCGGCGGGTGCAGGGAGGGAGCCGCAGCGCCGAGCATCCCCAACACCGAAGAAGGGGACACGTGGCCACTGCCAGCCGGCACGTCTGTTTACTGTCCTTGAACTGCTTTTCAGAGGTGTCAGTTGTAGCCAAGTAGATTATTAGTCTGGTCGTGTCTGAGAGGCCTTCCCCCAGAGGGCCCGAAGTCCAGTGTTTGTGACAGACAAGTGGACGCAGCCGTCATTGAGGTGACCTGGGTCAGGCTGAGGACAGTCACCAAGGGTGTGACATTTATGGGACACTAAGTATTTCAGTAAGCATGATAAATACTTGAATGCAGTATCTCGAGAAAAGTTAATGCAGAAAGATCCTGGATGAAGTAAACGTAATTTAAAATTTCCTGTTTGACGGCCAAAAGATAAATCTGTCATAAGGAGAACCACCCCCCACCCCACCCCCACCCGGCCTGGCACTCTGCCAGTTGCGGATGTGATCATTACTTAGAGCATTTTACAGTGTAATTCGCTTAAGTATTAGCCTCTCAGCTTCCTCTCCAGAGCCCCTGCGTGCCAACCTGGTGCTGCGCTGGTGGGGGAGAAAGGCAAGGATGGTCTCCAGTCTTGGTGTCCCCAAGGGTGTGTGCAGTCCCATGCCCACCGCGGTGGGCGGTGACAGGAGGGCGGGACGACTGGCCCGGGGTGGGGCTGGGGCTGGGGCCGGGGGGCGGGGTCCTGTCTCCTCGGCTCCACCCGGGAAGCCATCTTTGCTGTGCTTTGCGTGGTGTGCAACCCCAACGGCACGTGAGCTGTTCTCCTTGGTCACAAAAGTGAGGCCGGTGCGGACTTGCTCTGCTTTGAAAGCCTCCACTTAAAGACCCGTCTTGCCCCACCCCACCTTCGTCCTCCTGCTCACTCGGCCACCTGGCACTCCGCAGGTCTCCATCGCACCGCGGACAAACGCAGCCCTGGGCTTCGCTCAGATGCTTCCAAGAGACCGGCGCCTCTTCACCAGGGAGCAGCTGTTCGAGCGGATGTGCATGGCCTTGGGCGGCCGCGTGTCGGAATCCATCTCCTTCAACAAGGTCACCTCTGGTGAGGAGCTGGCCCGTGCTGGTTCTGGCGTTCTCAAAGTGCTTTTACATCCGCCGCGCCTTCCTCGTGGGGTTGGGAGGGTGGCTTACACACGTACTTCTGAATTTCACCAAGTGTTCTCAAGCTACTGGTACAGGTGCTCGTGTTCCCAGTGACACGGGTTCAGCGTTGACAGGGGTGTTGTCAGAGCTGGACGCGTGCCGGGGAGCTGCCAGGGAAGCGAACCCAGAGGTGCACCCCACATGGTGTTTAGAGTTTTAAGACTCTGTCCTTTAAAGAACAGTAACAGGGCACAGTTGTCCCCTGGGTCCTCTGCGGTCAGGCCCAGGCCCGTGCCACTCTGCCGAGAGAAACCTCTTTCTCGGCCCCATGCTCCAGGGGCTCAGGACGACCTGAGGAAGGTCACGCGCATCGCCTACTCCATGGTGAGGCAGTTTGGCATGGCCCCAAGCATCGGGCCCGTGTCCTTTCCCGAGGCGCAGGAGGGACTCACGGGAGTTGGACGGCGTCCCTTCAGCCAGGGCCTCCAGCAGATGATGGATCACGTGAGTGCGTGCCGCCCCCTCTCACGGCGCAGTGGGTCAGGGAGCAGGTGTCTGAGGTGCTGGCGCTGTGCCGTCACGTGGTCCACGTGGTGGGCTTTACAGTCCTGACCCCTTGTGGCTCTCACGTTCTGAGCATCTGCTCTCGGGTGAGGACTTGTGCGGCCCCTGGTGAAACTGTCCGTGAAACACCCCAAATGATGCAGCCGGTGCCCAGCAGTCCCCACACCTGCAGGACACATGCACGCTCCCTGCGCGACCTGGCCGGGCCCACTTCCAGCCTGGTGCGCACGTGAGGTGGCCGCACGCTCCCCGGCCTCCAGGAGCTGGTGGGCGCCTGCAGCCGTGAAGGGGGAAGGGGTGGGAGGCAGCCTCCTGGAACAGGGGTATTCGCGGGGGATGGGGTCAGGGCAGGAAATGCCACTGGCAGCCAAGCTCTCCTGGACCCCGTGAGCCGGAGGTTGGCTTCCTGCCCCGTGGCTCTAACGTGTGCTCTGATGCCAGAATTCTGTGCCAGAATCAGGCACAGGAGATGTTGTGAGCATTGGTCTGCCGTCCTGCTCGTGACAGATCTGTTCGCCCATTGGCAGGAAGCCAAAGTGCTGGTGGCAAAGGCCCACAGGCACACGGAGAAGGTGCTGCGGGACAACCAGGACAAGCTGCAGGCGGTAAGGTTCTGGGCACCTGCCTGTCCTTCCCTCGGCGGGGGTGGGGGGCAGGCAACCATCGCCACACGGTGCTGATGTGGCTGTCACTCCTCGAGGGACTCTTTCCAGCACACACACAGCCACAGAAAAAGCAGCCGTTCTACACTCCCCCCAGTTCAACTGAAATCTCAAAGACCACTTGGGGCATGGCAGTCTTTTATTTTTCCTTTATTTATCTTTTGGGAGGGGGAGAGGCAGAGAGAGAGAGAGAGAGGAAGAGAGAATCCCAAGCAGGCTCTGTGCTGTTGGCACAGAGCCCGATGGGGGGCTCAATCTCATGAACCGTGAGATCATGACCTGAGTTGAAATCAAGAGTCGAATGCTCAACCGAGCCACCCAGCGGCCCCTGTTTTAAGTCATGTCTGTGCCACACATGGGGCTTGAACTCTTGACTTTGATTTCAAGTTTAGAATAGTCTTAGATTTATAGAAAAGCTGCAAATATAGCACAAGACCCTTCTACCCCATGGCCAGTTTTCTGTATCATTAACATCTCCCTTTAACATGGTGGGTTTTCTACCAGCTAGCGAACCAGTGTCGATACGTCATTAACTGAAGTCTGCGCTAAATTCACGTTTCCTTCGTTTTTATCTAATGTCGTTTCCTGTCCCTAGACCCCACTTCACTCTTGGTTGTGATGTCTCGTTACGCTTCCCTGGGCTGTGAATTCCCGCTTGCCTGCTGGCTGCCGGCTCTGGCAGTTTTCAGAGCAGTGGCTTGGTGGGTGTGGCGTGTCCCCCAGCTGGGATCTGTCTGCAGTTCTCAGTGAGGCTGGGAAGGCAGCACCTGAAGCGGGTGCCTCCCGTGTCCCTCGTAGAAGCAGGCAGCACTTTGTGGACAGGCCACATTTCCTCACTTCCTCATTCCATTCAGATGAGGCGCTGCTCCCCCAGGCTGGGGTGCTGCCCTCACAGTGCTGCCCCTGGGCCGGGGGGCTGTGGGCAGCGCAGGGACCTGCTGAGCCAGAACCCGCTGTTTACCAGGCCCAGGTGCCACACGTGCGCGCTGCGGCCGCTGCTCGGCAGGACTGGGTGGGGCTCCTCCTGCGGGGGCCCCGGGTGTCCCCCCTCTGCACCATGGGGAGCGGGGCACGTTCCAGGGCTTAGCAGCTCTGTCCCTCCCGAGGAAGCAGTGGCCCTGCTCAGAAGTGCCCGGGACGCATCCCTCATGGCCGGTGCGGGCTGTGCACACGGCCCCCTCAGCGTGCCCTCTGGGACCATGTCCAGGGAGGCAGAGGCTCCCTTGCTAGCCCCGGGCACCAGCACCCCGTCCCCACGTTCCAGCCCCCACTTGTTCCCCGACGTGCAGACACACGCACCGTGTTTGGTAAAGGAAACTAAAGTGGCCCCAGAGAACAGATTTGGGAGGGAAGCAGAAAAATGATGGAGGCTGGCAGCCGAGAGGCTGCCTGTAAGGTGCAGACGAGGGTTCTGTGCATGAGCTGCCCGCTTACACTGCTTCCCTGGGAAGCCGCCTGCCCAGGGCGTCCCGCTCCAGACGCCCCCTCCCTGCTGGGTGCCCGGCTCTCAAAAGGCTCCTCTGTTTCCTTGTCTGGGGTTCACACGCCACTCGCTGTGTTCCGTTAGCTGGCAAATGCCCTGTTGGAGAAGGAAGTGATAAACTACGAGGATATCGAGGCCCTCATCGGTCCGCCCCCTCACGGGCCCAAGAAGATGATCGCGCCTCAAAGGTGGAGTGAGGCCGAGAGGGAGAAGCAAGACGCCGGGGAGGAGGAGGCGCCTCAGCAGCCCCCACTTCGCGGGGAGGAGCCATCTTGGCCCAAATAGACGGGCCTCCTGGATTGTGCCTCGACCGTGCCGTGGGGACGCGGCGTCCCCCGCAGACCCAGGAAGGGAACGCCTCACTGAGTGCCCTGCCCCCGCCGTTCCTCTTTTGCCCAGACTGGTACCCCCTCCCTCCCAGCCCTCACTGGTCTCTGAAAAGACTTCTGAGATCTATTTATTGACTGCCCTCCCGGTGAGAGGTAAACGTTTTTGCAGATGACTTGGCTTTGTTAGATTGTTTTATCCATGCCGGGTACAGGTGCGCATGGGGTACAGGTGGGCATGTAGATCCGAACTCCCAGGCCAGTGACCCAGTGACAAGGTGGTTTTGTGTGGGAGCAGCTTGCTCCTGCCAGGAGTTCATGCGGGGGCTGTCCCAGCTGCTGGGACTTCATCAGAGCGCTAACAGGACCCCCGAGCCAGCTGCCGCCTGTCCTCCCTCCAGTGGGCCTGTCCTGCTGGCGCGTCCACAGCGCGTCGGCATCAGGGCCAGGCCCTGGGCTCTCGGGCGTTAAAATACTGCCACCTACTGCTGTGCAGACCCGGGCACCAGCCTGTCCTGCTGGCCTGGCCTCCACACGAGGGGTAAGCCCTGAGGCCTGCTGTGGCATTTGTAGTAAGTTCCTGGGGGAGAGTCCACCTTGCGCCACAGGGCCAGCTCTAACCCAGACATGGGGTCATGCGTTTCAGTTTAGAATGTCAGCCCAGGATAACCAACAGAAGAGCCCTGTTGTAGGAATCTGGGGGGAAGGCCCTGGGACGCCCCCTCACCGCAGCAAGCGAGGTACACTCGGTCCCCTCGGCCCCCTTGTGCCCAGGGGTGTGCCACACGCACTCCGGTGTCCCCACCCACTGCTCTCACTGCGCCTGCCCTCCCTGCGCAGCGGTGTTCGGAGCCACGGACTGCAGGTGCTTCCTGACAGAAGGGGTAGTTCGGCCGCCCATCCCACAGTACGGCCCGAGGGATGCAGTATGTAAGCAGGTGGGGGTCACACCCGAGGGAGGGCAGCTCTGAGAGCACTGTGGCCTTTGCCCCAGGTCCCCAAATTCACTTCCAAAGATGGATATGCAGTTAGGAGGGTTCTGGTCTCTTCGCCCCAGGGTGGCACCCTCCGTACCCTAACCATGGACGGATGTGGTCAAGCTTATCCCCCTCCTACTTTACCAATAAATTGGCCCGTGCCTCTTTCTTCTCTGGAAAATCGTTTGCTGACCACAAGATACACAGAAACCAAACGTAAATGGCACGAAAAGCGGCCCCTCCCTGCAGCGGAAGCAGGGGAGCCTGACTTCCTAGCACTCACTGGTGGGACGGGGGAGGTTCGCTATGCTGACTTAGAGAAGCTCAAGGCGTCTGCCGACTTTGGGCCCCCAAGTGGTCACAAGTGATGTCACCTCCGGGTCATCAGGTGCTCGAGCGCCAGAAGTCACACCTCCTCTACCATCTCAGGTGGGGACTGAGGCTGCCCCTCAGACTTCCTGTAAAGAGCCTCCTCCAACTGCATGTTGGTCTGGGGCAGCCAGACCACACGGGGCAACCGGCGTGTTCAACACCCGAGCCGCAACCCCGACCCTCTGCCCTCCACCCGGCAAAGGGGGTATAACATGGCCTGACTGTAGCTTCTGGAACTGGCTTCACCTGAGTCCGGTATGCGAGGTCTCCTCACCAAGAAAAACATGTTTTCTTTTGTTTGTTTTTTAGTAATCTCTACTTCCAACGTGGGGCTCAAATTCACGATCTGCAGATCAAGAGTCACACGCTCTTACGATTGAGACAGCCAGGCACCCCGAGAAAGTCACATTTTCAAAGTAAACGTGTGTTTAACACCATCAGCCTATTAACTTACATCCTTTAACAATACAAATTGTTCTCTGTAATCTACACTTGTACTTACGATTCTTTTATGTTCCCTAAAAGCTCACTTTTTGTTGCAGTGTAACAGACATGCACGTAAAGTTTGATGTTCGTATGTGCCGCAGGGCGATCACAATGAGCCTCGTTAACACCTGTCACCACACAGGTATTTAATCTGATGAGAACTCTTAAGGTCATACTCTTAGCAGTTTTTAAATAAGACATTTATGATTATGACACTAATATTCTTTCCACTGCCTTTCACTGACATCAAGTGTTCCTTCAGGTTTTAGGAACCTCTGTGTTAGCCTATATCTGATTTACGGGTAGGCCACGATTCTGGAAAGCTGAGATGATGGGTAGTTAGGAGTTCTGTGATTAAGCAGCGAACATTAGCCTGTCCTTGCTGTTATTAGGCTACTGCTTTTCCTAACTCAACCATCAGCCCATATTTGTATAACGTAACATGCAAATTTTACAAAGTGCTTTGGGATATAACCTCCCCCACTTCCCCAAACACTATAAAATCACTTCTGCTATGATATTAACTTAAAAAATCAAGGGGCACCTGGGTGGCTCAGTCAGTTCAGGGTCCGACTCTTGATTTCAGCTCAAGTCATGATTTCATGGTTCACGGGATTGAGCCCCACGTCCTGCTCTGCTCTGAAAGTGCAGGACCTGCATGGGATTCTCTCTCTCCCTCTCTCTCCAAAATAAACAAGCATTTAAAAAAAAAAAAAAAAAAGACCGTGTGTCTGACAGAGTTCCAAAAACTATTGTTGACAGCCTCAGGTGGAATTTCTCTGAAGCCAACACCCACAGCACCAGCTGGAAGGCACTGGTCAGGTGCAGGTGCTGAGTGACAAGGCACTGCTGGGAGTAACTGGGGCTCCCTCTTGCAAGGAAATTCTGGGAGGCTGTGCAGAGGACACTCCAACACCTTCAGGCATGTTTATCCAGGAATCCGTGGCTACCTTATTTATGTGCATGCAGTTTGCAGGGGCATTAGCTGGCTCCTTCAGTGGCCCCTGCAGGCCCAAGCCCAGGGCAAAAGCTCTGCAGCAGAGACGTGGCTGTGGAATTCTGTGCCCAGGGGGACACGGCCTGTCCCTATAGCTGATGATTTTTTAAATGCGTGGGCCAGCCAAGTCTTTGTATCAGAAGGATTCCTGCTTAACAGTTTAGAACAGTTCGGGGTGCCTGGGTGGCTCAGTTGGTTAGGCAGCTGACTTCGGCTCAGGTCATGATCTCGCAGTGCGTGAATTCGAGCCCCGCGTCGGGCTCTGTGCTGATGGCTCAGAGCCTGGAGCCTGCTTTAGATTCTGTGTCTCCCCCTCTCTCAGCCCCTCCCGTGCTCATGCTCTCTCAATAATAAATTAAACTTTAAAAAAAACACAGTTTATAACAGTTCATTTTCCTCTTTCCCAACAAGAAAGTTGAGCCTATTTCTAGCAGATTTCCTGTCAGAACCGTTTTTACTTCGCTATTGTGCATACTGTTCAAAGGAAGTAAGCGTGTGGAGTCTTCAAGCATGGGATCCTGGAGTCTGCATCGAGCATGCTGTGCGCAGCAGACCGAGGTCCTTGAATTGCAACTTCGCTTTCTTACTGCCAACTTGATTCTGATCAGTGTTTCTATTTTCTGACCTCGAGCCCCCAACCGGTGACCCATGGCAGCACCTCAACCATGAGCGGCCACAGCTCAGGTCAAGATGTGGCTCAGGGCAGATGGATCTGCACGAGTCTGGGGTCTGTCCGGAAAGAGAAACTGGGGATGGGGACAGGAGTGTGTTTGAGACTGAAAAGAACACGGTATCTGACCACGAAGATCCACTGAAAGGGGTCTGAGAAAGACCAGGGAGGTGCGGGCTAACACTTGATGGACTACGTTCAAGGAAAACCCGCACGGGCCAAGGCAAGTATGTATTGGGCAGATGTTTCCCCAATGTCCCTCTGCTGCAGTTACGGGGGTCCACGTTCCAGTTCCACCAGAAAGAAGGGACTTGTGAGGCAGATGATAATCCCTCTCACGGTTGTTGTAAGGACTGATGGAGGGATCACTTGCTCTCTCCTCTCCCGCACTGGCTCCCAGCACGTCACATGGAAGTGGAGCTGTGTGACATCCGTGACAGCCAGTACGTTCACTCACCCTGTACGGGACACCGCACGATGTGCTGTGGTCTAACACAGACTCTCCTCCCACTTCCCAGAAGGGAAAAATTCAAACGATGCCCAACATCTCAAAACTAGTACAAAGGTTCCCAAGCAACTCCAGCCACTTCCTTACTGACTCGCCAGTGACTCTCCAGTTGAGCCCATCTGTTTGTGAAAGCGGCAGACCAAATTTTAAACGTTACCTTAACGTCACAGGTAGATACCATTCCCAAGTTCACGAGAAGTACTTTCAGCCTCTCCTGTGCTGACAACAGTCACAAAGTGGGGCTAACACAGTCCTTGTCTCCTAACTGAGCACCCAGAGCTAGGGTTTGGACTTTCCTTGCGGGCTCAGCACATTCGTCTCAAGAGACTGCAGGTGCTTCATAAATTACACATGTTCTCTGTCCTTTCTACCTGTTCCGTGTCCCTGGCCAAACCCTGTAATTCCTCAGTGAATCTCAACCTGATACTTCTAACACCCAAGGGTGTCTCAATAGGGCAGAAAACTGTATCGGCACCCTATGTACTCAGTGAAGCACACAGGCCTCCACGTTTCTCATTTTGTGTCATAAAATTCTTCGAGTGTTAAGTTCTCTTAGGAAGAAGCTTAGCGTTTGGGGGGAGGGTGGGAAAGAAGGCGAGTTACCAGGCTGTAAAGGCTCACGGAAAGGGACAGGGTGTTGGCGGTTTCCTAGACTCACCCGGGAGAACGGGAGACGCGCAGGGCACAGGTCACGGAGCTATGTCGGGCTATTTATTGAATACATGTTTTCCATGACGCCCGTCTCTGCAGGGTCTGCAGTCCGTCACCCGGATTCTTACCCCGCCCTCTGCCCGACTCCGGGAAGGTACAGCGCTTGTACCGTGCAGCGTGAAAACGCACGCGAAGTACTTACGCTCCAGTTAGAGCACTCAACAAGTGTCACTTCTGGGTAAACAAAGAAGCACAAATGTTTCAAAAGGTTGGAAAGGCACAAAGACGGACGCGGAGGCGAGGCTTTAGGGTTAGGGGCACGTACCGAGTCCCGTGACGTGCAGGAGCAGGAAAGACTGGGCACCCAAACAGCCGCTGCTCTCCTCTGGCCTGGCCGTTCCTCCTTGAAGGCCGCGGAGTCCCGCAGGACCCGCCGTCCTCCCAGCACGGCCAGGGACCCAACCCGCGGGAAGCGGGAGGCGCCACGCCCGCCCAGGCCGCGAGGTCTGCTGGGAGAGCGTGGACGTCACTTCCGGGATCCCGGGCTCTGACTGGCCGGAACCCTTCGGCGCTTTTGATTGGCCGATCCCAGCACCATCCCAGGGTGCTTTGTGGTAGCAGTTCCTTTCCGCTGGCCGTTCTCCTCCGGAGGAGGTGAGTGTGCTCGATTCAGGCGCCTTTGGTTCTTCTGGTGGCATCCGCCGCCATCGGTGTAGGGCCGCGTCGGGCGCGGCCGCAGAGGGGCCTCGGGCCCCTGCCGCAGACGGGAGAGGGCCGTGGCCCGGGTTCTGGGGCCGGGCGGGCCGCCGCGTCCTGCCGGAGCCCGGGGCCTGACTCGCTCCCCTCTCCCGCGGCTCCCCAGGCCCGTAGGCAGCAGCCATGGCGCCCAGCCGGAATGGCATGATCCTGAAGCCCCACTTCCACAAGGACTGGCAGCGGCGCGTGGCCACGTGGTTCAACCAGCCGGCGCGGAAGATCCGCAGGTGAGCCGCCGCTGCCGGGTGGGGCCGCGGGGAGCCCACGGTCAGGTGCGCTTGAACCCCTTGGCCCGGTGAGCGCGCGGCCGTCGGGAGCGTGCGCCGGGGCCGGGCCGGGGGCCAGCTGACCGCCGCCCGCCTCTATCCGCCCAGACGCAAGGCCCGGCAAGCCAAGGCACGCCGCATCGCCCCGCGCCCCGCGTCCGGACCCATCAGGCCCATCGTCAGGTGCCCCACGGTGCGGTATCACACCAAAGTGCGAGCCGGCAGGGGCTTCAGCCTGGAGGAGCTGCGGGTGAGTGCGCCGCGAGGCGCGGGAGGCTCTGTTTGGCGGCCCCCGGTCCATGATGACATTCTCCGGAATCGCTGCACCTCCTTGATGAGAGCGCTTTTGAACCCTTTTCCATCTGACGGCCGGGCACCAGGGTGGGGGCGCGGGGAGCGGAGGCCCCGGGGTGGGGGGTCCTGCATCCGTGTCTGTCTGGGGGCAGGTGGCTGGCATCCACAAGAAGGTGGCGCGGACCATCGGGATCTCCGTGGATCCGAGACGGCGGAACAAGTCCACGGAGTCCCTGCAGGCCAACGTGCAGCGGCTGAAGGAGTACCGCTCCAAGCTGCTCCTGTTCCCGCGGAGGCCGGCAGCCCCCAAGAAGGGGGACAGCTCGGTGAGTGCGCCCTCCCCGCCGGGTCAGGGTAATCTCTGCGTCCCCGCAGATAGAGGGACGCGTGTGGGTGGAGAAGGGCAGAGCTCCTGGCGTTTCCCTAGTTGTGCAGAGCACCGTCTGGGTCCCATCTGGGTCGCCGTCAAAGCTGTTGGCTGGAGGCCGGGGGGTTAGGGGATTATCTTGTTTGCTTTGTAAGCTGGCTCACGTACAAACGCTCCCCCAGAGTCTCCGTGTCTCTGCTCGACGGAACGGCGGGGGTTCAGTGACTTGTCACCCAGGCCTATGTGTGTGCACCCGTAGGTGGGGTCGCCCAGCAAGCGGGGCTGTTGTCCAGGGTTAGAAGCTTGCAGCCTTTGGGGACTTGAGGTGAGCCCGGGTGACTCTTGTCCTTAACCAACAGGCCGAGGAACTCAAGCTGGCCACGCAGCTGACAGGACCGGTCATGCCCATACGGAACGTAAGTGGGCTTTGGGGGGTGAACCAGTGAGTTTTCGGGGCGGAGATTGGGTTGAAGGGTGGCAGCCAGGGCCTGTGTCAAGATATATGGGTTTGTGAAAAAGAAACCTTTTTTGACTTTGGGAGCAACACCCTTCACTCCTAAGAGATGAGCTCCTTGGGGCGCCTGGGTGGCGCAGTCGGTTAAGCGTCCGACTTCAGCCAGGTCACCATCTCGCGGTCCGTGAGTTCGAGCCCCGCGTCAGGCTCTGGGCTGATGGTTCAGAGCCTGGAGCCTGTTTCCGATTCTGTGTCTCCCTCTCTCTCTGCCCCTCCCCCGTTCATGCTCTGTCTCTCTCTGTCCCAAAAATAAATAAACGTTAAAAAAAAAAAGAGAGATGGGCTCCTTGAGGGGGGGCCTTGTCTTCTCTTTGGGGACTCATTTGTTGCACCTCCTTCGATTTTTTTTTTTTTTTTGTTCCTCTCCTTGCTATTTGAAAGGCCAGGCCACAGGTAATTGCACGTTTGGTGATCCAGGAGGTGACTGGGCCCTTGACTTTCTCTGCCAGGGAAGTGGGCCCAGGCCTCCCTCTGTCCATGTTCTCTGTTGTTGACGGTGACACAACATCTGTCTCAGCACACCCTCCCCCAACGGTTGTTCGCACAGCTCAGGGGCTCGCTTCTGCCTCTGCTGTGTGTTTGGCGGGCGCATTAAAGTCTGTCTTGGTGTCAGCATAGCCCTTCAGCAGTCGATGGGCAGACCGCGTGCGCCTCCACGGTTTCTGCTGTCCTCACATGCTGGGTTTTGTCTCCGGCCTCACTGCAGGCAAGGGTTTGACTCCTGTGCTCCGTTCCAGGTCTACAAGAAAGAGAAAGCCAGAGTCATTACCGAGGAGGAGAAGAACTTCAAGGCGTTTGCCAGTCTTCGCATGGCCCGTGCCCATGCCCGGCTGTTTGGCATCCGGGCCAAAAGGGCCAAAGAAGCTGCAGAACAGGATGTGGAAAAGAAAAAATAAAGCGCCGTTGGCAACTTGAGATACTTGCGGTCTCCGTGTGACAGCGGTCTCCCGTGAGGGGAGGGGCAAGGACGTGGGGATGTGTGCCCTTGCTGAGGAGACCTGGCAGGGGGTGACAGCATCTTTGCGGGGCAGTCCAAAGACCGAACTGCTTTTTTTTAGTTTCGGAGAGCGCATCCCAAGCAGGCTCTGCGCTGTCAGTGTGGGGCCTGACCGAGGCTCAAACTCCTAAACTTTGGTACTTTTTTTGCAGAGGTGTTACAAAGGTTCATTGGCTTCATTGTTAATGAGTACTTTCCAGTTACTTGAGTGTTTCAGGGGTCAGACCCTTCCTGGGCCTGTCTGCACTTCTCCTGTGCCCAGTAGCAGCCCCTTCACCCACATTTGCAAGGCATCCAAGCTTTGGTGCAGAAAGCTGGCCTTTGTCCATCCTGAACACGCGTTCGGGCTACTGAGCCTGTGTGGCGGCCAAGTGTGCCCTCATGGGCAGGCGGCACTGTCCCCAGACCCTTTGTGACAGCATGATGCCCGAGTTCCTTTGAAACCGGAGCTTGGTTTCTCTACAGGTGGGTACTGAGGTCCAGCCCTGAGCTGGTCCCTCATCCCAGCAGGGCCCACTCTGGGGACTGGCACTCAGCAAGTTTTGCTTCAGTGCTCCAGCCCTGTGGGTATAGGTGTCCACAAGCCATGAGAGGTGTGTGTTTCTGTGCCCGGCACCTGTGCTGCCACCTGAGTGTGTTTGGAACCAGATTTCAGATAGGTTTTCATCTAACAGATGATTTGGAAGGCACTTTACTCCACACCTGAAGTAAGTTTGTAAGGGGCTGACCTCCATGCTGCTGCACTTGGAGAACCTGTGTCAGGGAAGGGTCGGCTGACGGGTGGGAATTTGAGGCCAAGCTATGTCCTGGACCATCCTGTGAAGAGGGGATATCCTGGTGGCATGGTTTCCACAGCATTTGTGCAGAGAACCCGGTAAGGAGTGGGATTAAGCTACCTGACCGCAGGTGGCTCTACGATTGGGCTGGACCCCAGGCCTCCAGGAAAGTGCACGGCCGTGGCGTCCACCACCCCAGCACCTGTGATCCAACCTTTGGAGTAAGGGGAAGGGACCTTTGCGTGGCCTTGAGTCACCTCTGGACATACCCTGTCCCCCTTTTGGCATTGTGCTACCAGAATGAAGGGCCTTTCCTGCCCTCAGGAGCCCCTGGGACAGGCTGGACACCTGAGAAGCCTGGGGTAGGGGGCCCGCATGCTAGGACCCTGTTCACTGGGTCCTCTGCAGCAGCCCTCCTCTGGTTCTGTCACAGTTCTGGGTCACCTGAACTAAGCAGCTTCCAAGGGTCACTTAGCGCAGTGCCATGAACTTTCGGTGAGCAGGACCAGCCCCACCCCTGCAGGTAAGCTACTCGAGCCGTCTGGTAAAGCCAGGCGGGAAGTAAGCCGGATCCTAGGACTTGGGGCTCCTGAGCCCCACCAAAGGGGCTTCTGAAGGTGCCGGGCCCGGCTGGTTCTCCCCCCTGCTTGATGCGCTAAACTCCCTGACCTGCAGTTGGGAGGACTTCTTTCTTCTGCAGTCTGGAATGCTCTTGGTGGGTTCGAAGATTTTTACATCACCCAGGACTTGGGTGAGTCTGGTACCAGAAGTGATTATGGATTGGGCAGCCCAGCTGGTGTCCCCTCCGAGCTGTGGCCCTGTCTGGGGAGCAGGGGGCCCCGGCCCAGCCTTTCCCGAGGCTGAGGAAGGATCCTTGCGAGGTGGAGCTGGGAGCCTGGAGGGCAGGCGGTGCCAACCAGCCTGGAAAGTCTAAGTTCTGCTGGACTGGTGGTGGAACCCTGATGCCTGTGACCCGGTAGCTGGGGAACGACCGGGTGGGAGTGAGCTCATGCGCGTGGTAGGCACCGCAAGGAGGCTGGAAGGACGTCCCCCGCGACTGGTCCCTGTGTGTCCGTCGGCTCCAAGGCAGCCCTCGCCACGGCCAGGGTGACGGGGTCCTCTGTCAACTGGCCGTCCGTCCCCTGGCATTCCGGCTCCTGGAGGGTTTCGCCTGGAGTGTGTGCAGAACTGCCCGGGACAGATGACTCCTCACTCGGCTGTGTGTCTGGTGGGGCGGCAGAGGCGTGAGGCCACAGAGCAACAAGAAAACGGGGCCTCTGTCCTCTCTCTGGTGAGCAACTGAATTTTTCCAGCAAGCACGGCCTCTGATGAGGTGCCCCAGAACAGAGAACCGGCTGTGCTCTGCCCTCCCCCGTGTGTGGTTTTAGCCACTGTGTGTGGTCGTTTGATGCACAGCGTAGGAAACTAACCCTGTACAGGGCAGATTCCTTCACCCCTTTCTACACCCGGGTAACGTTCCACCAGCTGGTGCGCTCCGGGACACCCGAGCGGGGGTCCGACACGGAGTTCGGCT